CGGCAATCACACTGAAAAAAATAGAAACGAGTGTAAGAGACTGGAAATAGACTTATGTCTATATAATATCACTGATACTATATCTATCCATATCCTATACAAATAGTAATAACCTATCTATCTACTAGTATCCAACCATAATATCAACAAATCCTTGTCTATTACCTCAAACATCCCATACATATTCTATAGATAAACTATGCAGGTTACAATTAAGCAATAGAAATGGTGACATATGAAAAACCCAGAGAATGGGAGGGAAGGGAGGGAAAATACTCGCCTCCTGGCTGCTGTCTTGGATGCGGGGAGATGTAGTACACAAGAGTTGGAGTCTATCTCGAACCCGAGGAACTGGACTACTCAATGATGACTTCTCTCTGTTCACTACAAACCCCAATGATTCCAGAAAGTGCATGGTAAATTTCGTCTGAGATTGAATTCTGGTTTTGGAGTCGCCAAAAATCAACAAATCGTCCAGATACATGAGGCAGCGTATTCCTCTTCCTCTCAGATGGGCCATGACTGGTTTGAGAAGTTTCGTAAAACACCATGGAGCCGAACTGAGGCCGAATGGTAGACATGTGAACTGGCAAGGGCGACCCCTCCAGATGAAACAAATGAAAGCTCGGCTTTCTCGTGCCATGGGGACCGACAGGTAGGCGTCTTTTAAGTCCAGGCGTGTGAACCAGTCGCGTTCGTTCAGTAAATCACTCAGAATGTGAATACCTTCCATTTTGAAATGGCGATAAGCCACAAATCCATTCAGTTCTCATAAGTTGATGACTGGACGGTAGTCTCCCATCTTTTTCTTGACAACAAACATGTTGCTGAAGTAACCCTGGTCGTCTGTGGCGAATTCAACCGCTCCCTTTGCGAACAGGGTTCGTATCTCCGTGTTTATGAGGCATCTCTGACTCTCTGACGCCCGGATAGGTGATGGTCGCCTGATCTGAACTGGCGTATGGGTAAATTCTATCACGTACCCTCGCACCGTCTGTAGGATCCATGCGTCTGTGGAGATTCGTTCCCATTCCTGCGGAAAAAGGGACAGTCTGCCAGCAGTTATATTTGAATGACATAACGGAAGATAGTTCATGCTCACCTGAGTTGAAACGTCCCCGTGCTCTGTTCCGAGTGCCCCTTGTACGTAAGGATCCCCTTGTGAAGTTGGCTCTTGCAGATGGGAAGAACTGTTGTGTAGCGTATGGACGACTGGGGCCGGATGGCCAGAAACGGCTGGTGGCCCGACCCCTCTGCCGACCAGGCCTGCCAAAAACACCTCGAGTTGTCTGTGGATTCCGAAAGACTTGTCTAATAGATGATTGGGCCTTATTCAGTGTAGTGAATAGGCCTAGGTGCTTTTTCAGTTCTGCCATGAATGGTTCTCCAAAGAGCAGTCCGTCCGCCAGGGGGCCTATCTCTTTCTTTCCCAGATCCAACAGTTTGGAGTCTATCTTCAATAAGGCCGCTTAACAGCGTTCTGCGCACATGGCGGCGTTAGAATTCCCTAGTAGGCAGATCGGTCGCTGTGCCCATTCTCTAATGTTGTGTGCCTCGAGGGTCGTCCCCTGGGTGAGTGCCAAATCTGCGAAGTATAGGATCTTCGCTAAAGGACCTAGCATGTCCAGCATTTTGTCCTGGACCGATTTCATGCCCTTCTCAACACCTTTCCGTGGGTCTCTGCCCAAGCGGAACATAAACACCCCTACTGTGGCATCAAACTCTAGGGTGATGGCTATCTTGTCCGGGAGCACGGGACGTGGACACTCTGCTTTGAGCTTGGCCCGAACCTCCTTGTCCACTGGCTTCCTCAGCCAAAAATGTATAAATTGAGTCAGATGGTCCAGCAGGTTCAATTCTGACGATCTGGGGTGGCGTATCTGGCGTGGATCGAACAAGGGGTTGCCCGTCCCATCCAGAAACACCCCATCTTCGTATACATCCGTATGCACTTTACGTGTGCTTTTGCCGCCTGAGCGGTTTGCCCGTTCGGGACCTTGGTCGCATTCTCCGACCTCCTGAGGCATGTCCTGCCAATCCTCCTCCTCCTCCGAGAGTCCTCTGCCCTCCATTCGTCCATGATTTCCAATGAAGGTGGAGATAATGGCTCCTCATCCCCTGAGGAAGGGGGCTGTGGAGGGGAACGGTCCGGACTGGCAGCTCCGCTTCCGCAACACCTTCCCCTACTGTCTTTGAAGGGTCGTGTTGGATCCTTTCCATTGTCGTTTGTATGACCCAGCCTCCGCCTTGGATTTGGCGGGTTCTTTATCCTCTTTTTTCGCCGGAGGCGTGGTGTCTGCCCCCTCTGGTTGTGTTTGCGCCATCATTTTGGCCAACGCCTTTTCCACCGAAGCCGACACTGCGGCATTGATCATGGCCTAGAAATCCATAGGTGATGATGGAGGAGTGTCTGACATAGTGGCAGTTCGTTCTTCCCGTCTGTGGGGAGATAGGGTATACGTCAGTGCTTATGTAGCTACACAGTGGCTTCCACGTACAACTGGGGGTCACCCAGGTACCATATAATCAGTACCACTAGGAGCTTGAGTAGCAGTCTGTAGAGGGGGTCACCCTCTCATCGACCGGGGTGCACGGTCATTAAGGTTGGGATGTAGCCCGGTAATGGTCGGGACGAGGCCCGTTAATGGTTGGGATGAGGCTCGGTAATGGTCGGGACGAAGCCCGGTATTGGTCGGGACGTAAGCCCGGTGATGGGAGGTGTCAAAGACCTCAGTACGTTTATTTTTTAAGGTGTCACCCTTGTGCATGAAATTTGTGGAAGTTTCGCCACTGTGGGATCTTTTACCAATAGGCAGTGAATTGCGTGGATCACCCCAGTTGTACCATGGAGGTGTTGCATACAATAAAGCGTACTTTGTTATAAGCCCTTGAGTGGGCGTGATGATCACTCCTGAGTAAATTATTTATTTTTTTGTTAGATTTCTATGTATCCTGTCTTCAGTGTGTGCACCCCTGTAGGTCAACCACCAGTGCCCTCAGTGAGAGCTAGCCATTAAGTATTGCAGCCTGAGCAGGCTGAGAGTTGCCCTGACAATCAGGTGAGATTTCTTGTAAGGGTGCTGAACTGTAAGTATGCCTTTATGCTTTATTTCCAGTTGATGTGCCAGCAGTACCTCCCCTGTAGCCAGGGAATAAGGGGTTAATTTTTTTAACTGTATGTTATAAAACCTTGTGTAACCATTGGGGAAAGCAGTTGGAAACTCTATGCCAGTTCGTGGGAATCACGAACTGGCAACCTAAGATGGCCGCCGAGGATCTCGCGATAACGCGAGACCCAAGATGGCCGCCGTTCGCGCGCACCCCCCTGTGTCCCCCTCCTACACCCAAGGGCTGGCCCTTGGAACCCTTAGGGAGACCTCATGGTCTCGCGCGATCGCGGTAAAATGCCGCAAATCGCGAGGGACCAACAGACAAGAGGCAAGGGGAAAGTGCAGTCCCAGGGTACAGGGCAAAAACCCCACAAGTGAAAAATAAAGAAGCTGAGGGAGCAGAAAGAATTATTGAGTATAGTTAAAGGGGAACACAAAACAGTAGGAGGGAATAAGCCAGCATCAATTAAAGAAACAGTAAAATTGCACATATAATATACAAACAGTGAGAGCAGAATACTCTGACCTGTGCCTTGGCTGGAAGCAGCAAAGAAAGAGGAAGTCATGTGACAATCAGAGTTTTATATATGGTTATGTACTCTATTATGATTGGTTAAAAGTTTAATGATTGACTTGTGCTGCTGGAGGCATGAGTAAAGAAAGTCATGCAAAATAGGAAGCCTCCTGTCATGTAATAAAATTAGATGCGATGCTTCTATTTTTTTTTTTCATAATCATTATATTTCTATATAAGGATTTAACAGTATTATTATCCAGCAGTGCATTACACACCTAATATTTTAGAAAGTATGGCTTTTTGTTGGAATAAATTGAGGGTGAAGATGGCAAAAAAACATGACTTTATAAAAAAGCTACCTGTAGTGCAATCTTTTAAACCTCTTGAATCTTTTAAACTTCTGACACTACAGCAACCCAGATCACTTCATCTCATTGAAGTAATCTGGGTGCACTGTCCCTGTCCCACTTAGTCCTGCAACATAAATCATTGCAGTTTTAGAAAGATGTAATGATAACTTTGCAGGACTACTAAGGCTGCCTCTGGTGGCTTTCAATTAGACATTTAATTATGTGTCTGCTCTCTGTAACCTCCTCCAATGGATTCACACAGTGGTCTAATTCAGTAGCTCAGAGCAGGAAACGCTCTTGACCTCACCTTCACCAATCTCTGTCCCACCTCTAATCTATCCAATGTTCCATTCCCTCTATCTGACCACCATCCGCTGTCTGTTGACATCTGCATACTCCGTACCCAAAGAACACTACCCTCATCAAATCAGTCTTGCAGAAACCTGTATTGTCTTGGCTTACAGCGATTCTCCACCAACCTCCAAAGTCTCCTTTCACCCATCTCAAATCTCACCTGCCCTAACACTGCTACCTCCCTCTACAAATCCACTCTCTCCTCTCAACAAGACAGCATGGCACCTCCTACACTTAAATTGCACTAAGCACCCCCAATTACAGTCCTGGCACACCAAGCTAACCAGATACCTCTAAAAATGTTCCAGAACTGCTGAACACTGCTGGAGAAAGTCTCACTCTGCATCTGACTTCCTCCACTGTAAATTTATGCTGCGCTCCTACAGAAAAAAAGCAAAAAACGACTTCAATACACTCATAACCACCCTCTCCTGCAAGCCCACTCGACTGTTTCATGCTTTTAACTCTCTTCTTCGCCCTGTTGTGCCTCCTAATCCTACCAATTTAGCCGCCACAAAATTTGCAACTCACTTCACTGAGAAGATTTCTACAATCAGGGAAGAGATCTCTCATCTCTCTCCATCCACTACGAACTTTTCCCTTAACCACAGTCCCTCAGCTGTCCTTTGCTCATTTGCACCTGCTACAAAAGAAGAGGTTTCTGCTCTGCTACGTTCCTCCAGCCCCACCACGTGTTCCCTCAATCCTAGTCCCTCGTATCTCATCCACACTCTTGCTCTTGTGTATGCGAGATTGACAGACTGTCAGGATTATTGATTGATCCAGCATGTAGAATTGTATCACACCTAGGACTAAAAGGTAATGTCTTACCAGGACTTAGAATGGCCGGACTGAAAATGTACTTCTTTAGGAAAGCATATCAATTAAACTGTGAACAGCTTTCCCTCCCCGCACCCTGATTCCTCTCCTACAACTGTTATCAAAACAAACACTAAGCTCTCATTGAATACTATCCTAGTAACCTACTTTTCTAACCTACCCTTACCTTTTGTGTCACTATACCCCACTCCCTCTAGCATGTAAGCTCATTGAGCAGGGCCCTCAATACCTCTGTTCCTGTGCGTCCGACTTGTCTGGTTACAAATACGTGTTTGTTAGTCCACTCATTGTACAGCGCTACGGAACTTGTTGGTGCTTTATAAATAATAATAGCCAATATTAATGTCAATTCATGAGGATATAGTTATTTCAAAACTTTAAAATATTTATATTAAAAAGCAAATATAAATAAAGTAGAGTTGTAGCTCAGGTTCCTTCATTTAGCTTTCTATAGTGGAAAGTTGAGAGTTGAAATATAACTTGCACATCTTATGCGATAAGTTTTACACTGCCAAAGAAGTTAAAGGGAATGTCTAGGTTACAAAATGCATATTTTATCTAATCCTGTTATTATTATTATTACTGGTATTTATGTAGTGCCAGCATATTCCATAGTTCTTTACAATATTCAGATGGGGGAGATTTAACAATAAATGAGACAAATGAGGCAATTACAAAAACTTACTGGAACAATAGGTTGAAAAAGGCCCTGCTCAAACGAGCTTACAGTCTATAGGAGGTGAGGCATAAAACACAACAGGACAGGAGGTAGCAATCAAACAAGGGGGAGTGAAGCAGAGTTGGAGGAGAGAATGGAGTGCTGCCCTTTAGGAGAGAACAAGGGACAGGTACGTGAGGTAGAGGTTACTTTGGGAGGCCATAAGCTTTCCTAAAGAGATGGGTTTCGAGCCACTTTTTAAATGATTGAAGACTAGGGGAGAGCTTGATGGTCGTAGGCAGGCTAATTCAAAGGAAAGGAGCCACCCGCGAGAAGTCCTGCAAGTGTGAGTTAGCTGTACGGGTGTGAGCAGCAGGCAGGAGAAGGTCATGGGCAGAGCAGAGAGACCGAGAAGGGGCATACCTGTGGATCAGTGAAGAGATATAGGAGGTGCTAGAATTGGTCAGAGCTTTATAAGTGTGGTTTAGTACCTTGAAATGACTCCTATAGGATAGAGGAAGCCAATGTAAAGACTGACAGAGGGGAGAGGTGTGAGAGGAGGGACAGGAGAGGAAAATCAGTCTAGCTGCAGCATTCATTACAGACCGTAGTGGGGCAATACAACTTGTGGGAAGCCCTATTAGGAGAGAGTTACAATAATCCATACAAGAGATAATTAGAGCATGGACAAACTACTTAAGAATCATTTTTTAAGCTAATAAAGTTAGCTAACTTAGTTAGCTTAGTTAGTTCCCAACTTTTAGAGGGACACTATAGTTACCAGAATCCCTACGAGATTAATAGCCTGTCCTTGCAGGCTTTTCAATGTAAACACAACATTTTCAGAGAAAAGGCAGTGTTTACATTTCTGCCTAGTAACATCTGTAGTGGCAGTCACTCAGACGGCCACTAAAGGTGCTTCCTAGTCCAGTGCTACACAATGTGCAGCACCTATGTTCAGCATCTTCACACGTTCCCCATACACACTTATAGACACACACACTTACAAACATACACATACAGACACACTCACAGACACACTCACTAACAGACACACACACACTCACTGACATACACTCTCACACATTCTCTTACACAATTATTATTATTTATTTATTTTTACTTTACATCCATCCAGCCTCCCTACCTTTGGAAGAGCTTCAGTGGATCCTTACCCCAGAGTCTTGTGGAGCTGCTCTGATCCTGTAATCTTCAAGCTCTTCTTGGTCTGTTTCCTCTTGCCCCGTTGAGTATTAGCTAAAGATAAGTGACATTTTGTTGCATTACAACCCATAGTCAGTACATCAAAAATACCAGACTTCAATAGCAGCATTTAAATAAATATGAAATAAATAATTTTTATTATTATTTTTATTTTTTGTTTTTTTTCAATTCTGACTTCAGCCATATTGCTCCATCTACATTTGATTAAAATTCAGAGCAGTGATTGTAATCTTCAAGGTTTGTATTCTTTTGTTTAAACCATACAGAGCTGCAGGAGAAATATATAATTCTTACACAGCTAAATGTATAAACGCTGGCCTCAAAGGAGTTTGTTCCAAGGTTTTAGTAGACTTTTAGTAGACTTTATATAACAGAAAGGACAACACCCAGGAGTTAATTTGTTAATTAATATGCTTTGGAAGAAATAAACGTACAGTAGTCAAATAGGCTCTTGAATATAAAACAGAGGCTAAGTATCAGTATTCAGAAACATTGGGGTGGGTCTTCTTTCCTGAGTCTTCTTCATGGTAATTTGATAAACAGGGAATTATTGGGAATTGACAAGAGAATAGCAAACTTTAGGCAAGAATATGGAAAAAAAAACTATTGAAAAATGTGTCCAGTTTTGCTATCTTGAATTTTATGGCCAATTCCTGACAATTACTGTTTTGTTTGTTTGTTTCTTCTTTTACACAATTACTGTAGTCCTTGCTGAAAATAAATCTGTTTATTATAGTTTGCAGGGAAGGTTACTTTCAGTAACCAGTTTGTTTCCCTTACTTTGTGATAATCAACTCCATTGTGAGTTTATAATTGTCTGAGTTTTGTAGATCAGTTGGCCAAAATACAATGCTCCACACTATGAGTATACAAATAAAATAAGTAAATAAAGATAATATTGACTCTAATGCCAAAAACTCTAGCAGCTGAAACCAATAAAAGAATCAGCTGCTTGGAAAATTGTCCCCACTGTGGGGCCATAATTAAAAAATAAAGTGGAGAGACACAGTGTCCCCCAGTATTATTATCATTTATAATTGCTCAGTATTAGTGTTGTTAGCATAACTTATCCCTCCCAAAAAATACATGCTTGCAAGCCAACCAATAAAGTGCTCTGACTGAAATTTGATTGAGTGGCAAAGCACTTTAAGGACTCCCATCATGCAAGCTGAATCTGTGCTGAGCCCTCATTTGGCCAACATTGAATTTATTTTAGCTTTTTTTTTTTTTTTTTATTCTGTCCACCACCTCCTCCCATTATTTATTTAACATTTCCCACATAATTGCTGACCCGATCGCCACTGTATCTTAAAAGTGATTGGGCAGTAATAGCTGTTCAGTTGCATTTTTTTGTATTACTGCCAGCAGCCTGTGGCTAGCAGCCCTAATGTCCTACATAAGCGCTGCCCGATCTAAGTCTTTAACAAGTTTGATAAGTATGTCCTTGTAAGTCTCCCGAGGTACCCTTGTAGTCTTGGGAAACCTGAAACACAACTCCACTGTAAGCAGCTTAGGCAGTTTTCGTGTCAAAAATGTGGAGAAGAGGCAATGAAGATAGTCTGTAAGTTCTTCAGAAGGAATGTTTTTTCCATCCCCATTATCTGCCTGCAATCACTGCCTCAAACAAATGTAAAAGCTGACTTGGATATCTCTAAGAATCGCTATTATAAAGCCATGCACATAATGTCTGTTCCAAACAAGCACTGGCTCTGCCCACCAAATTTGATATTTTATATGTAAAACAGATTTTAGATTTAATATTGTGCCAAAATGTATAGGTATGTAAGGTTATTTATGGGGATTAATTATTATAAATTTTCATTAATTAAAAATAATATTTTCATAAAAATTATAAAAATGTATAATTTTTATTAAAATATCAGGGGTTGATGTTTTATTGCCGCTATTCTCATGTATTATTTAAAGTGAATAGTTACTCATTATATTAACTCTTTAGACGTTGTTTTTATAAAAATTATAATTTAAATTTTTTGTCAATAAGTGTAAATATACACGGTAGTTAGTGAATAGTTTTCAATAACATTGAACAAGATATGGCATAGTACAGTATGACAATCTCAGTAACAATTTTAAAGTTATCGGATTGTTAGTTCAAGACAAATTCAATCAACCGGGTTAGTATATGGAATATGTTCTTAATACACTATTGATTAAGACAATCAGCAAATATAATGTTACTATTTGTTAAAATATAAGGCACCATATGAGTTTATCAGCATATGGATTATTATAATTTGAAGACAGAATTTTTCAGGATCTTAAAATACAATCTTAGCTTTTTACTTCTTAGTACATGTGGATTGTTTGCTTATTGTAAACACTGTTCATTAGACTTAGCTGGACAGAGTTCATTATTTACTCAAGTGATCCATTCACAAAGTTCTACAACAATGTTTTATCAGCTAGCACGGAATGTTATCCAGCTCAATGCTTTTTTCAGAGTAATTAATTATGATTCATTATTTCATCCAGTAACTAAATTCTTGCAGGTTTAGTTAAAACAGTTCTTATCTGATAAATATTTCCTAGATTACTATATGATTAATATTTCTCTGGGTAACTATTGATATTTTTTTTTTTTTTTAAATTTCATGATTTTGATTAATATTCCAGTCTGCAGTTTGGGATATCAATCTTTATCATGAGCTATCATGAAACCCAGTCTGGCGGATTTCGTATCAGCTTTTACCCAGAAAATATTAGCTTTTAGTTATGTAATTTTATAGTTAGTATAATTGGCTTATATTTACCGATAGATGTTCTGGATGTTATTTTTAAGATTGTTTCAAGATGTCTTGTCTTGTGTCCTATCTCCATTCTCCTTCTGCGTGTCTTCTTTCTTTTGTGTGTGTATATCATGGGGTTATCTGTCATTCCTTATCTGTTAACCTTCTGACCTCGTCCAATGAAATTTTTGGGGCAAGTCATTATGTTAATGGCTGTTGACGTCATTTTGATATATATTTCTATATGTCTTAAACAGGTGGAGCTGTTGTCTACGTCAGGAATGTTACCAACTATTATCATATAGGGTTAATTCTTGTTCAGGACAATTTAGGAATGTTTAATTTCAAGATGCTTTGGGCAGCGTTTCTTCTTTACTCTAAATGTGGACTATGGTCTCAAACCAATAAACCAATGTGTCCTTGCTCACCT